AGGACAAAAGACCTCCAATGAAATACACGCGGTATTCAATGAAAAATGCTTTTATTACAAAAGGCAAACAAACTGTTTAAGGGATAATTCAAGACTGAATATATTTTATAGCATTTCAATACAATTTGGATATATTACTCATAATGAGATTTCAAACATTAATAATTAGCTTAAAACAGGAGTCACTATTCATATGTTGAGTCAAAGTAAGGATTTTTACATTACTAGTGATCTATTCATCACAGACGTATATCGTGTGCCCCAAACTTTCACGTGGCTTAGAGATACCGGGAGTACAACTCATTTACCTTTATATTAATAATCTAATTATTTTAGACGATTCTAATTATGAAATGATTATGAAATTTATTCTAATTATAATTGATATTAAGACTACTTGTGAGACTATACATGAAATATAGAACTAAACAAATGAGAACATTCTTACAATGCAAATTATAAAGAAAATATTACTGCACTTGTATTGTGCAATGCATAAAATAAAAATGATACGACCTTGGCTGAATCAATTTACTGTTATATTCCTAATCAATGCCAAACACAACACTTACTTTCAATATAAGAATTTATTCAAATATTAGTGCATTTCAAGTGTATGAAAGCCTTTATAACTATTGTACTAAACAATCTGCAAGGTATTTAAGTTGGTATATAATTTGATTTTAGAAACTATTTATTTTATTTAAATCGCATAAATATACTTAGATTGTAACTCTATTTAACATACGTAAAAACAGTAATAATGTCCACATCAAAAAATTTTGCAAATAAAGTGGTTTTGATAACCGGTTCAAGTGGTGGTATCGGCGCCGTCACTGCCGTCGAGTTCGCCCGATATGGAGCCCAAGTGGTGATCACCGGTCGTAATGCCGACAACTTGTCAGAAGTGGCCAAACAATGTGCGGCCGTTTCGCCCAAAAGCCTGAAACCACTGGAAGTGTTGGCAGACGTGAGTAAAGACGTTGACTGTAAACGACTGATTGACAGTACGATCAGTGCATTCAAACGGTTGGATATTTTGGTGAATAACGCGGGGAAAGGAGTTATGTCTTCGATCAGTGATACGGATATTCTCGACAAATACAACGATATTATGGACACAAACCTCCGTTCAGTAATATATTTAACACATCTATCGGTCGAACACTTGGAGAAAACTAAAGGCAATATAATTAATATATCAAGTGTTTCGGGACTTTCGCCAGTAAGTGATCTATGATTGAGTTTACATTTATAAAATTTATATTGAAACAAATAATAAATTAATCATATAATGTATAATATTTAATCATGGTACTTTTGTACAAAACAGTCCGCCAGAGGGTTTCTGTACTGTATGTCAAAGTGTGCACTCGATATGTTCACCAAATGTTTGGCCCTAGAGTTGGGTCCAAAAGGCATTCGCGTTAATGTTATCAAGTAATCAATCATTCGTTTTGTTTAACAACAATAATATATTGTGTCTATTGTATAGTCCGGCAGCCGTTAGGACTAATTTCCTTCAAGCCGTGGGCTTAACGAAAGAGCAATCGGAGGGCTTTTATAGTCGATTGAGTGGCAAATACCCGGTCGGACGGGTCGGTGAGCCCATAGACATCGCGAACGCCATACTCTTCTTGGCCTCAGACGAGGCCTCGTTTGTGACGGGAATCAACTTTGTGTCCGACGGCGGGAATCTCAACGCCCCTTAATAATTGATATCACAATCTACTGTACTTTATATTATTAATAAATATTGTAATTAGTAATTACATTGTTTTACACGAATAATCTTATACTTTATAATAAATTAATGCTATTCACTACATAATATACTTGTACAGTAATACTGAATAAAAATAAAAGTTTTATAAAATGCAATTTCTAATTAAAGTATTACTATACAATATCTTTTTTAATTATTATTAATTGAATTTCTTAAATATAAATATTAAGATTAATGTTAAACCAGATATAATTAAATACAATACAATTTATTAATTATAATTCTACAATATTGTATCTTTGGTTTTTAATATTGAATTTTTAGATAAATTATGATGAAATTAACAGTCAAATTAATCTCCCGATAGTTGATTATGATTACAAGTGACAATTAATTTGGCATGTGACTAGCGTTGCCAAACGTCCAGGAACGTCCTGGATTATCCAGGAAATGGACAATTTTTGCAGAGTCCAGGGAGGGGTATTTCCTGGACATTGAAAAATTCAGGAAATAAATTTTGAATAAATTAGTTGTAAAAATAGTGTTTAACAAACTCTATTGGTTTAGCTTGTTGTGTTTTTAATGAGATTTATAAATATCGCTAACAAAAGTAGTGTATGTATTGTTATAACAATTTAAAAAAAACTATGCGTAATCATTGTAAAATCATTTGAAAAAGACGTTATATCACAAAAATTCAATAAAAATATCAGTAAATATAAAGTATTTATATGTATTTTTGCAGTGACTGACAACTAAAATCCAGGAAAATCCAGGAAATTTGCAAAAAATTATCAAATTTTCCAGGAAATGCCAAAATATTTTTGGCAACGCTACATGTGACACTATGAGTTTAGTAAATGAGCTTTAGATTGACTGGGGTAAACTAGGTTAACAAATTTGATTTAACTCTCAAATGAATAGACTCAGGGGTTAATTCACTAATAAATATAAACTACGACTAGAAAAATTACAATTACTGTATTAACTTATACTGAATTATATAATAACAATATCATTGATTAATACGTTAGAATAATTAATGAATGGTTGGATTGGTTACGCGCCGTTATTTAGCGCCATAAATCATAAATAATTTTAATTATGAAATGTTTAGTGCATTATAAGTGTATGGAAACAATCACACCAAACGATCTACAGTATATTAATTTACTTGAGTATATAAAAGTGTATAATACCATTTATTACTACGTTAGAATTATGACTGATTAGTTAATGCGGTGTATTGTAAAATTTTTAGTGCCTTTTAAGTGTATGAAAACAATTATATTAACAATTTATGTTAATTCAGTTGGGTATATAATCTAGTTGAAAAGTGTTATGCTCACATAAAACATATTTATTTTAAGCAATCATTTAGTTAACATACTTTCAGATACTAATAATGTCCACATTCAAGAATTTCGTGGATAAAGTAGTGTTGATCACCGGTTCAAGTGGTGGAATCGGCGCCCAAACAGCTGTCGAGTTCGCCCGATATGGGGCTCAAGTGGTGATCACCGGTCGTAATGCCGACAACTTGTCAGAAGTGGCCAAACAATGTGCGGCCGTTTCGCCCAAAGGCCTCAAACCACTGGAAGTGTTGGCAGACGTGAGTAAAGACGTCGACTGTAAACGACTGATTGACAGTACGATCAGTGCATTCAAACGGTTGGATATTTTGGTGAATAACGCGGGAAAAGCGATTTTTACTCCTATCACTGATCCGTCTGTTCTCGACAAATACGGGGAAGTGATGGACACAAACCTGCGTTCAGTCGTCTATTTAACACATCTATCGGTCGAACACTTGGAGAAAACTAAAGGCAATATAATTAATATATCAAGTATTATGGGACTTAAACCAGTAAGTAATCTGTGATTGAGTTTATACTAACAGTAATATATTGAAACAAATAATAACCCAATTGTACATTATATTTAATCATGGTACTTTTCAATGAAAACAGTTAAACACAGGCTTTCTATACTGTATGTCAAAGTGTGCACTCGATATGTTCACCAAATGTCTGGCCTTAGAGTTGGGCCCAAAAGGCATTCGAGTTAATGCTATCAAGTAATCAATCATTAATTTTATTGATTATTCAATAATAAAAATATGTGATGTGTTTGTCTATAGTCCGGGTGCCGTTAGGACTAACTTCCTTCAGGTGGTGGGCTATACCAAAGAGCAATCGGACGGCTTTTACAATCAAAGGGGTGGCCAATACCCGGTCGGACGGGTCGGTGAGTCCATAGACATCGCGAACGCCATACTCTTCTTGGCCTCAGACGAGGCATCGTTTGTGACGGGCGTTAACTTTGTGTCCGACGGCGGGGCTCTTCACGCGCCCTCATAACTGGTTTTACACTTTATATCAACAATTAATGCATGTATTTATTGTGTTTTGAATGAATTATATAATATGTTTTGTATGTTATTCAATAAAAAACATGTACTGTTTAAATAAAATCTGATTTAATCAATGTTTTATAATTTATTACATAATGAGAGAGAGAGAGAGAGAGAGATTTATGTAATAAATATCACTGATAATAACTCTTTGTATTCTTGCACTGAATTAAAAATATTTATAAATCTATTAGAGTTTAAAATAAAAATTAAAAATATGCGATCAATTATTTGTTGTTAAATAAAGTGATTATTAAAATAATAAAACTAAACTAGTTCAAATGATGAAACTTTTTACGGTAATTACGGTAATTAAATTAAGTAATAACATAAATTAGATATTAAATTAATTTTTGTTAATAACTTATAAACAGTTTGTAATTAATTCTAGATAATTTAATGTTAGAAATATATTTAATTACAAAATTAAACAAATTTGAATGTAAATTATATCCAAATTACTTATATATTAATTGTAATGAACAGAATATCACAGAATATGTGCAGTGAAAGCATGCATAGAGTGAAGAGGGGCTCAATGTTTGGGACGTTATTATTGGACGACAACTCAATTGAAGTATTGTTTGTAAACAAGTATTGAATGAAAGCATTGATTGTCTTCACAATTGGTTTAACCATTAAATCAGATGATTGTGTGATTGGTTTGGATGTGTTGTTGTGATAGTCTTGGATGTGATCTTCGGTGATGTCTTCGTTGGAAGCGTTGAGTGACGACAATAAGCGGCTGAAGAGTGAACTCCAATATTACTGCAAATGCATTGAATTGTATGAGAATTACAGGAAATGTTTGCTTTATTTCGACAACAATTGTATTTGTCTTCAAAACAAAGACTTTTATTTCGTTATCCAAAGCCTTGAAAACCAATACAAGACTTCCTTAAGACCTGACCATCAGTTTGAATACCAATTGTCACCAAAAC